TCCAAACCTAGAAGTTCATGACCAACTGACTTCTTCAAAGGAAACAAATGGTTATTGATGTCCTTTACCATGGGAAAGCAACAGTATCTAAGACAGAAATTTTGGAAAAACTCACCAAAAAACACCATACCCCATATCATTTTTGTGTTTGGATTCAGAACCCATTTTGGTAGTGGCAAGACTGGCTTTGGCATGATTTATGATTCCCTGGATTATGCAAAGAAAAATGAGCCCAAACATAGACTTGCAAGACATGGCCTATATGAGAAGAAAAAGACCCCAAGAAAGCAGTGGAAGGAGTGCAAGAACAAAATGAAAGTCAAGGGCACCGCAAAGGCTAACATTGGTGCTAGCAAAATGTGAGCTAGAGATTGGAAAACAGCCAAAGGAGTAGAGATTCTTCAGTGCCTTCCTGCAATGACTGTGACTTTTTTCACGAGAGTATTTATAAACTGTAAAACCTTAAAAGAAAGAAAGAAAGAAAGAAAGAAAGAAAGAAAGAAAGAAAGAAAGGGAAGCAATACTCCCAAAATCATTCATGAAAGTAAGTATTACACTGATACCCAAACCAGAGAAAGATTCAACCAAAAAAGACAACTATAGGCCAATCTCCCTCATGAACATAGATGCCAAAATCCTCAATAAAATCCTAGCAGATAGAATACAGCAAATCATCAAGATGATTATACACCCTGACCAGGTAGGATTCATCCCAGGGATGCAAGGATGGTTCAATATATGCAAATCGATAACTGTAATGCACTATGTCATTAGAACCAAAACCAAAAACCACATGATTATCTCAATAGACATAAAAAAGGCTTTTGACAAAGTCTAATACTCATTTATGATCAAAGCCCTACAGAAAATTGGAATAGCTTGTATCTCAATCTGATAAAAGTCATTTATGAGAAACAAACAGCCAACATCATTCTAAATGGGCAAAAACTGAAAGCCTTTAGTCTAAAACCAGGTGCAAGACAAAGATGTCCACTATCACCACTCCTATTCAATATAGTTGTGGAATTATAAGCTAGAGCCATTAGACAAGAGAGGAATAAGAACAGATAAGGAAAAAATTAAACTAGCATTGTTTGCAGACGACATGATACTCTACACAGAAGACACAAAATATTCCACCAAAAGATTCCTAGAAATAATAAAAATAAATAATAAAAATAAATTCAGTAGCATAGCAGGATACGAAAATAACACCCAAAAATCAATAGCATTCCTCTACACAAATAAACTCACTGAGCAAGTAGAAAAATAATACCCTTCACAATAGCATCCAAAACAAAAAAAGAAATACTTAGAAACTAATCTAATGAAGAAAGTAAATTATATACACAATGAAAACTACAATACTCTGAAAAAAGAGATCAAAGAAGATATCAGAAAATGGAAAGATATTCCTTATTCCTGGACAGGAAGAACCAACATTGTGAAAATGGCCATATTCCCAAAATTGCTACATAGATTTAATGCAATCCCTATCAAAATGCCATCAATGTACCTCACAGATCTAGAAACATTCCTAAAAGTTATTTGGAACCAGAAAAGACCTAGAATAGCAATGGCAATCCCCAGGCAACTAAGGCAAGGCAAGAGGCACTACAGTCCCTGACTTGAAATTATACTACAAAGCTACTGTGATAAAATCAGCATGGTACTAACAAAAAGCAAAACAAAACAGACCCGAGGATCAATGGAATAGATTAGAAGATGCAGATGACAACTACACACTCAGGCCCCTTATCCCTGACAAAGGCACCAAACAAGTTCACTGAAAGAAAGATACTCTCTTTAACAAATAATGCTGGAAAAACTGGCTTTCTACATACTGAAAAGTCACCACCACTATGAAAATCAGTGTGGAGATGCCTCAGAAAACTATGATTGGAAGTTCCATTCAACCTAGCTATTCCTCTTCTGGGTATTTTTCCAAAAGAATTGAAAACATCATACCACAGTGATTACCTGTGCACCCATGTTTATAGCAGCAAAATTTATCATTGCCAAATCTTCGAAACAGCCAAAATGAAGAGTGGATTAAAAAAAAATGTGGTATTTTTATCAATGGAGTATTACTTAGCTATAAAGACAGACAAACTTGAGATCTTTATAGATAAATGGATACAACTAGAGGTATACTCATAAGTGAATAAAATCAGATCCACATGTGTAAATATCATGTTGTCTCCCTAGTATAAGAGTCTAAAAAATATAATAGATACAGTAAAATGGAAAGAAACTGAATATAAAGAATAAAGAACAAAGGTGAGGGAAAGGAGAAAAGGTAGGAAAAAAAGGGGGAAAATCATGCAAGTATATACACAGGATAGATGAGATGATTACATTACTAACTTCCATCCATTTTTTGAAAATAGAAGCTAATGTTTATAATTTTCACCTTAACTATATGCTAATATCTGCAATCTGAGCAACTGTACTGAAGACAACAATGTGTAATACAAAAACCACAGTTGAACACTTCTCATCTTTTTCTTCTAAATGTGGATAATTTCTAATGTCTTATCAGTTATTTTATTCTCTTTAAAAGAAATTTAAAAATAAAAAAGATCAAGAAAAAAACTATTAAGGTTTAATAATAGCAAGCATTAATGTTTAATTATTTGTCCAATCTTGCAAACCTGTATCTGTAAATCTGAGCAACAGATTTTATGATAAAAATACATAATATAACAACCATTGTTAATTTGTTATCCTTGTTTTGAAAATATGTCCCATATGTACTGTTGTATGTTACTCTGTTTCTGCTATTTCTTTTTTATTTTACTCTTTAAGATAAAATAACATTTAAAAAAAGAAATAGCCACTCTATAAAACCATTTTTATTAAGGTATTCAGCCCTAGTTTACCTTTCTGACTCTACTTTTCTCCTGCCTTACCACCATACAACACACATACAACATCCAGTGCTTGCCCTGGCTCTGTGTACCACTACTCATTCACTAAATATAGGAAGAGCCATCTATGTGCCATGCACTGTTCTGGGCATTCAGTATTCAGTGTGACCAAAAGATGGAGGGAGAGGGAGCAAAGCAAGGAGAAGAGAATGTAAAAAGAGTTCAGATCTGTATGGTACATGTACCAACTCCTTATGAGGAATGTATCACTGTGTTCTGCAAACATGCACTAAAATTGAAACTTCCTTAATAAAAAAGGACACTCCAGTGAACAAAACACAGTTTTTACATTGTGTGATTTATATCCAGATAGAGGATGGAAACAAACAAATATATATTACAATATGAAATGGTAGTAAGTGCTACAGAGAGAAAGACCTAGCTGGAATAGCAACTTAGAAAACAAAAATTTATCATATTATGAGATAGTGATTTTTGCAGCAAACAGCATGCTCTTCCTATGAACTGCAGAAGTCCAGAGTGTCTCTGAAAGTACAATCAGTCTGGCATCATGGCAGGTGTCTGCCATGCTTGTGCTGTGAGAGGCTGGGTTGGAGGATTGCCAGCTCATCCCCAGCCTGAGCAACACAGTAAGTTACAGAGACTCAGTCTCAACCTACACAGATTTTTAAAAGGGTAAGGATGTAGTTCAGTGTGAATGTTAGAGTTTAATCCTTAATCCCCCCCCCCAAAAAAGTATAATCATTCTGCTACATTCCTTAAATACATCTAAACATAAATTATAATTTAAAACACAACAACAAGAATACTTCAATGCACAGTTGTTGAGAATTGTAAGAAAATATAACTCAGTTCTGGAACAACCAATTATAATAATTTTACTTTTTGACATTTAAGTTGATAGAGTCAGTTGTTTTTATTTTAGTCTAGTATTTTACTTGGCTCCTGGATATACCCTGCCACCCCCCCTCCAAAAAAAAAAAAAAAAAGTATTACAAGTACTGGCACATTTCAAATTATGTCATGAGATTAAAATCTATAAAACTTGAGTACTCATCTAAAATTCTCATTGTTATTCCAGTTTTCTTATAATACTCAAACAATATCATGGTTTTAAATGTGGGAGTACAAATTAAGACTCCACTGTAATAATAGAACATTAGAGACCAGAGCTTTTTTACTGGTGATTTAAAAACAGTTGTTCAACTGTCTGACTCACTTAAGTGCATAATATGTCTCAACTGTTTACAAAGAGCTGAAACAACTGGAGAAACCTACATAAGAGCCTGTTATATGGGATATTACTACAGGATTTGACAATGAGCCAAAGAAAATTTGCACAGACATTAATTGGCTCATTTCACCCTCAGAAAATTACAATGATTTGCTTTACTATCTAACTAACAACATAAAAGAATTCAGACTTTCCTCTGGGAATCTCTGCCATTATTACCTATATATGACTTCATCTTAGGACCTACATGAATGGATGGATGGATGGATGGATGGATGGATGGATGGTTGAATGAATGCTGGTGTTTCAGTGCTCAAATAAATGTATAAATAAAACTAAAGATTCTGGATTAGTTTTAAAGTATAGAAGTTAACTTGAAATGTTTTAAACTTCCAAATAAAGAAATAATAATAAAGGTCAGTGGTGGGTGAACATTATCCTAATGACTACAACTCTGACAAGCATAATTCTATAGTTTCCAGGATTTAGAAAACAATGATAACCTTCCTCACTTTCTAAGAGCATTTCCTTTCACATTTGCCAACTGTCCCTGGATCCTTCCAAATACACACGCTACAGGATGCTGCTTGCTGTGTGCTACATGATGATCAGCTTCCTCCTCAACTTGGTTGGCAGAGAAGAGCAAACACCCAGGGCCAGCTGGAATTCTGACTAAAGTCTGGGAAAGATTGGGCTGGGAGAAGGGATAAGGAATATTAGCCATCTAGAATAATTCCTGTATTGGAGAAAAAAGCAGCTTATTGCTGCTTTGTAAGGGCCAGAGTTTACATACTATTAAAAAACCAAATTAAAAGATAGCTAAGATCCAAATTTCACTTTGTCCTCAAAGCTGGGAAGGAAAAAAAGATACATACCGCATCTGTGATATCTATTTCATACATCCTTTGGAAAGTCCTACGTTCAAAGAAAACAAGTTTGCCGCTACCACATCCTCTTTGAACTGAGGTGCCGGTGACTATGAGTTTATCATCTGGACTGAAACAGCAGTCAGTCCTACAGACAAGGAGTTGACAAGTATAAGTTCATGATACTATAAAAGTGCAGCAATAAATGACTGAATTAAATAAAAATATAAACATTACTGTAAAAAGAGTGAATTCCTATACAGAGTTTGGAAAACAAGTACTTTTAATAATCTGTTTAATCTTTACAATTACCTATTTGATAGATTTTTTTATCCTCACTGTACTAATAAAGGAAACTGGGACAGAAACATTAAATACACCTTGTCCACAATCACACAGGAAATGACACAGCCCAGACTCAAGCACAGGATATCTAACTCCAGAATCCACTCCTTTTTAATATACATATATACAGAAAGATATATGTCAAACATATACATTATATATATGTATATATATGTATATATATATGCCTAATTATATACCTTTTGCTTTTAATTTATTTCTTTTTTTTTAAAGTAATTTTATTTACGTATTTGTTACAGGGTCTCTCTTCGCAGCTCAGATTTGTAGTGATCCTCCTGTGTCAGCCTCCCAAGAGCTGGGATTACAGGCATGTGCTACCACACCTGGTTTTGGTGGCTGACATAGCACGCCCTGGGCTCTAGCCAGCACGGCATATGGTACCGGGAATCAAATGGGAGTCTTTGTGCTTGCCAGGCAGGTTCAAGTACAGGGGAAACTCCATCTATATGAGACACTGAGAATGTCTACAGAGGGACATATATGACTGATCTCTAAGTAGTGACTATTTTGGCCTTTTTAAAAAGCTATCCTTACTACTACTACTACTACTACCTCTATACAATTTCACCTACATCAGATCAAGTACCATGAAGTCAGAAGTAGTTTCCATCATTTGAGCCTGATGGCCTAATTACACACCTTTTCTTATTGCCATATATGACTAATCTCTAAGTAGTGACTATTTTGGCCTTTTTAAAAAACTGTTCTTACCACTACTACTGCCTCTAGACAATTTTACCTACACCTGATCAAGCACCATGAAGCCAGACGTAGTTTCCATCATTTGAGCCTGATGGCCTAATTACACACCTTTTCTTATTACCATAGGCCTGGCCACCCAGTTGTGATTTATCTAAGACAAATTGTAGCAGGCATAACAGTCCCCCAAATTCTCATCCACCATAAATCCATGTTTGTTTGTAGGTTTATTGTAACAAACACTGCTATGGGCAGTGGATGGTGCTAGAGTTGGTACTCAGCTGCTCTACATCTCCTTTACATGATGCTTCCATTACCTTCACACTTTCTGTGTTTGTCATTATTTAACATAGAAGAAAAATTTTGTTCCTACCAAAATAGAAGCACTGGAGCTAGGGATATGGCTCACTAGCACAAGCTCCTGCCTGGCAAGGGCAAGGTCCTGAGTTTGATTCCAGTAAAAAAAAGAAAAAGAAACACTTTTCTAGGCACCATTTATAGAATTTAGAAATTAAAGTCACCTCAGCTGCCCCTAAAAATACTTTAAAAGCTTTAGTTACTGACTTAATGGAATGGAAATGACAGCATTCGGGCACCTACAGCAACACAGTCTGAGTCACTGAAGAGCTTGTATTTTCACATCATATATACACGCAAACACTTGAATATATACATATACATCATTAAACTTCAAATTAACTTTACAATGTAAAAAAACATGTAAAATAAAAAATAAAATTCACATTTCAAAAAATCATATTTCAATCATCCTCTCAAGTCTTTTTTCTAGACGACCTAAAATACATGATATAAATTACCATTAAAGTGAAGAAATTTCTATTCAATTACTTTATGCCAATCAAATATTAAAAATATGCTACTTACATTGGGAACATAGTGGGAAGACCTGAGGCTGAAAAAAGTGGCTTATTAAATTGTCGGATGTCCCACAATTTTAATGTGTCATCACCTGATAGAGGAATAAGAAAGAAAAAAGTGAAATTTACAAAAATATCTCACTCTCAGTTTAGGTTTGCTAAATTTAGTGTATAACTATAAAGAAGGGAGGAAGCAAAGATGCGAAGAACAGAAGCAAGGAAGGGAGGGAGAGAAAGACACAAAGGCTCATAAGCGTATTTTACTTCTTTAACTGTTCAGGGAGCTTGACAGAAGAAGAGTTACAAGAACGTACAAAACAATATAATAATAAACATATCATCTAGAAATTTCTTTCCATATTGATGTTGCATCTGTAGGTTAGGAAGAATTCTGAAGAGTCTACCTTACAGTGTAATTTTGGAGCAGATGGTAGCTTCCCTATGGTATGTTTTATTAGAACCTGACTTCTTGGGAAGATCTTCATTTAAGAACCATCAGGACTGAAAATAGTTCAATTCACAACAGATTTTTTTTTCCACTATTATATGGGTGAAGCTATCCATTAGCATTAATGAGTATGTTGTATTATTCCCTGCCCTCCAGCCCAATTCTACCCGCGTCTTTCCTTCTTCACTTTGCAAGGGAGTACAGCTTTGCAAGCCATTTAAAGAGTGTTGACTATTCTTTTAAGAATCTATATTTTTAAAGGGGGACTAACAGATTCCTGAGCAGAACAAAAGCCAAACTTATAAGCACAGTAATGTCTCTGCTGTCCTTGCTTTCCAAGGCCCACAGCTGAGACCTGCCTCAGCCTCTTCGGCTCAATAAGGACTCACCATCAGCTTCAAATGAGAAGAGTAGAGTGTTTTTGTTTTTAACTGAAAACTCTTCCTCCTCTAAAACTTTGTAAAACTCCTTGTAGGTAGGTTACTCTATTGTTTTTCTTCTTAGGAGATACATATTTTCATAATACTTAACAGTAAGAAACATTAATCTACATTAATTTCAGCTAACCCAATATGTTATAGAGGTAGTCAGGACACCTACACCACCCCTGAAGCACTCTGCTGAGTACACTTCCCTCTGCTGTATATTCAAGAAGGATAAAGTTGGAATAGAGTATACATTTGTGTTGACCAA